ATATCCCTCACAACTATAGAAGAAAATGTTTTATAAAACACCATCCATTCTTTTAAGGGAGATGAAGAGTTGAAAATGCTAAGAAAGAAGGGTTGTCAAATAAAGGTTAAAATACCCTATGATATCATTAGCACAAGTCCCAGCATCTTCAAATTCCTCTGTCTCTGTTCTTAGATCAACAGCATTCATTAACCAGGTATTCTCTTCAGCGACTGAGGGCACCCAGTATATAAAGGAAAAGGCTGTGTCTATATTCAAATCTAGCCCATGACACACAAAAAATGTAGCATGTGTGGGCTCTTGCTCTGTACCAGGCACTGTGCTAATGTTTATACACATTATCTTGCTCCGCCCTCAGGCCAGCCCTGTGAGGAAAGCAAAATGATCACCCTACTTTAGAAATGGGAACACACAGAGATGGCCACATGGCCAGGTTCTCCATAAATGCCTTTGCAATTTTTTAACCTTTTGTTGTTGTTTTTACATTGTTATATGGGTATTCCGTGCCTGGTCCAGCAGTAAGCCACGCAGAGCAGCTTTGAGGGCTGGCGCACAGATTGGCTCTCCTGCGCCTTTCACACGTGGCTTCCACTTCCAGGTCCAAAGCAGAGGTTCCCAGTTGCATTTTCCAGCCCTCAGGAAAGGGGGAATAGAAGGTCTAAGGCAATGTGTTTTTCTTTAAGAACCTGACCAGAAGTTGGCTGGTCATACTTGTGTCCACTCATATCCCATTTGCACAAAATTGATCACATGGGCCACGCCTAGCTTCAAAGGAGGCTGGAAGAAACAGTCTCTAGCTGAGCAGCTCTGTGCCAGCTGAAACAGCAGCTGTGTTGTGGGCTGTTGGGTGTTCTCTATTGCTAAAGGAAGGAGCATGTGGGGAGAGGGAGAAATCAGGCCGTTTGCAGGCAATTGAGAGACTATCAGGGTGCTAACCCGAAATGTTTTTATGTTTGCCTTTAAAATAAAAAGTTAGCTCCTTAAATAGTGTAAGAAAGATTTTAGAAGGGGTTCATTAAGGGACTTTGTCAATTTCCAAGCTATCTATAAATGTCCATGAAATATTATTCAAGTCGGCAAGGACCTCTACTTGGGCCTGGGTCACACTAACTAGCTGTGTGACCTTGGACACATTACTGGTAATTAGTTTCTCTGACTATTTTCTTATCTGCAATTTTATCCCGATAATGACAGCCACAACTGTTGATAAGGATCAGGATTAAATGTAATATCCATAGACGGATCCTGGCACAGAGTATTTGCTCAGAATTATAGCTCGTTATTACTATTCAGTCAACAAGCTTGCAATGCTCTGACACACAGGAGGCAGAAATAGGGCTTGGCAAAATATATATTTATACCCAAATTTAACTATTAGTAAGTTCAAGTAGAGTTAGCAATGTATCATTTCCTTTGGTGTTCTATTGTTTTTATCTTTATATTCTCTTCATTCTTAGAGACTATTTTTACAGGATATAGAATTCAGGGTTGACAGTGATGGTTTTATTTCAGCACTTTCAAGATTTCTCTTGGCCTTTGTTGTTTCTGACAAAAGTCAGTCTTAATTCTTATTACTGTTTCTTTGTTATTTTTCTGTAGCAGTTTTCAAGATTTTCTCTTTATCTCATTTTCTCAGAAGTTTGACTATAATTTTATCCATTTTGTGAATCACTGAGCTTCTTGAATTTGTAAATCTATAACTTCCACCAGATTTCGGTCATTATTTCTTCAAATATTTTTCCTTCCCTATTCCCTGTCTCCTCAACTTTTGGGATTATAATTTCATATGTGTTAAACTTTCTGTTATTGTTCCACAGATTTCTAAGGATCTGCTCATGTTTGTTTGTTTTCTCTCTGTTTTTCAGAATGAATCATTTCTGTTGATTGGTCATCGGGTTCACTGACTCTTCCCTTTGTTATCTCTATTCTTCTTCTAAGCTCAACCAGTGAATTTTTATTTTAGATATTTTATTTTTCATTTCTAAGATTTCCATTTGGTTCTTTCTTTATAATTTCTATTTCTCTGCTGAGATTTCCTGTTTGTTCATTCATAAAAGCTATGTTCCTTTATGTCCTTGAGCATATAGTTATAATAACTGTTTTAAACTTCTTGCCTGCTCATTTCAATATGTGGGGCATCTTTGGGTTGATCCTCAATGATTTCACTTTCTCTTGAGTCTGGATCACATTTTCTAATGTATTTATACACTTGGATTATATTCTGGACATTGAGTGACGCACTATAAAGACCCTAGATTCTGTTTTACCCTTCTGAAAATTATTGCTTTTTATTTTAATAAAACAGGCCCATAACTTGGCTAGACAGCAGCTGAAATCTCATTCAGCACTTTCAGTCTTACCTGGACTGCTTGCAGTCTGCCTAATATACGAGTAGTTCAGGGGTCAGCTAGAGACTTTGGCAGAGTTTATACACAAAATTTGAGGTTCTCTCTTTATTAGGCTGCTGTGGTGCCTCTGAATGATTTCCTCTTACTTTTTTATGCCAGTAGGACATCAGACCTTCTGTTCTAGTGGTAGCTGCCCTGCTCAGCATGGACTAGGACCTGCTCATAAGTAAAAAAATCATAAAAAATTCACCTATGCCTTTCCTTCCTCCAATTGTTGGCTCCCTTCCAGTGTCTGCTTTTGGTTGCTATTCAGTGCCAGTTAGGTATTTGTTTATATTTTGTCCAGTGTTCACAGTTTTTATCTTTGGGTCAAAGATAACAATAGACTTAGTCCAATAGGGGCTTCTCTTCCATTATCAGAAGCTACAGAGTAACCTGCTACCTTGTAAAGCATAGTTGAATGTAATTAAGTGTGGTGTATTCAAGATGGCTTAGATTCTTCAAAACCCTTCCTGTTGATGCATGGGGTCTGTTGTCCTTCCTCTTGAATCTGTGTGGATTCTTCTTTGACCAATAGACTATAATGGAGTTAGCACTGTGTTACTTCGGGACAACATTTTAACTTCTATCTTCTGGTTTCTGTTCATAGGCATACCCTTTTTTAGAGACAGTTTCTCAGTTGTCATGTAAGAAATGTAACTACCCTGAGACTTTCATACTGTGAGTAAACCCAGACTAGCTGTATGGAAAGGGTAGGTGGAGGAACAAATTCAGTTATGTATCTTGAAGGAGAGAGGGAGGGACAGAGAGAGAGAAAAAGCCCCATCAGCCACCAGCTTTCTAAGTCCTAGTTTTCTAAGTTATCCCCGCTGAGGGCCTAGGCATCATAAAGCTGAGATGAGCCATCCTCATTGTCCTGTCTGAGTTCCTCACCACAACATCATGATGCATATAAAACTAAAATAAAGTATTGTTCTTTGCCACTAAATTTTGAGGTATTTTGTTACCCAGCAGTTGTCTTAAATTATAAATAGGGTGGTTTTTTTTTTTAATGGAAAAGACCCAACTACCTATATGATATCTGAGACATCAGTGTTCATGAGTCAGAGTAAATCTACAAGTTGAATCTACACTACCCTTTTTCTTTTTCCCTCGTAGCTACTTCTGGAATTATAGGTAGAGAATATCAAGAGAACACAACTAGACATTAGGGATTATGCTTTGCAAATCAACTTATTTTTGTGATGGCAAAAGCATCAGTGCCATTATTGACAGATGAAGAAACTGAGAAGCAATTTAACTAAGGATAAGTGGCTGGAGTAGGGTCACTGTGATCATACTAGAATTTGAATTGAGTGTTCTCAAATTCATTGCATAGTTCAAAGAACATATTGATTGATTATTAATTGATTTCTGACAAGTTAGGTCAATGAGCATAGATGAATTCAAAATAGCTACTATTATTCAATTGTGAGTCTTAAAAGGAAAATCAAATAGAAGACTTAGGGTCTCCTTTTTTCCCCACTGATCCCTGTTAGCATCAATTAGACTGTGTTCTGCTATGATATTCTCATTTTTAGCATAAGAAGAAAATGAATTGATTTCAGGGTTGATATCTTTTAACATTTAAAAGGAAATATTTTCATGAAAATATGGGCAGCTTAACCATAGAATAAATGGCTTGACATTTGTGAGAGCAAAATAGTCAATATAAAGAGAATTTTCATGTTGAAAAATAAATCATTAACCAAGGCTATTTCTATGTTCAATTTCAAAAACTTGAATATCTCATTAATATATTTTTCCTTCTACTTTCTCTTGATTAAGCAGCCTATGTCATGGAAAGAAGTTGGCTGATTTCCCTGATACCCCTCACTCTTGGATAAACTAAAAGCTCCAATTCTTCCCTCCCCGCTTTAGTACCAAGCAGCAATCTCCCCCATTGTGAGCAGGAGCAATTTGGAGAGACAGATTCAGCCATGTGTCCTGATGTGTTGCATAAATATCAGACTCTCAGAGAAGCATTCCATGAAAGGTTAAATCCTCTCTTATGGGTGTCTTGACAACAGATATAAAACTAGGCTGGAAATTCATTTAGAGGGTCCACTCTCAAAGCACGTTCCCATATCAGATGCTCTGGTACTCCTCCCATTAACATGCAGAATCTCATTTCCCTCCCCTTAAATATGGGCTAGCCGTAGTCCCTCACTTTGAATGAATAGAATGCCACAGAAATGATGCTGTGTGCTTCTGAGGCTGGATTCGAACAGATGACAGCTCCTTCTGGCACTCTCTCTTGGAATGCCTGTTCTAGGAACCCAGTCACTATGCTGTTAGGAAGCCCAGACCAGGTGGAGAGGCCATGTGTAGATTTTTCAGCTAAATCACAACTAGCAGCGAACACCAATTTTCAGGCATATGAGTCAGGAAGCCCTAAAGATGGCGCCATCCTTAGCCACTCTGTCTGCAATCAGGTGAGTGACCCCAAGCAATAACTTCTTAGCTGAGCTTTCTCAACCACTTGAACTGTGAGAGTAAATAATAGCAAAATGATTGTTGTTGTTTTAAGCCACTAAGTTTTGGGGTGATTCATCACACAGCAGCAGATGACTGGAACACCATACAAAGCAATTTGGATTTTGTTTGGTTTTCCATTACATAAGCAGCTTCACAGCTAGATCTTTAAGGCTGCAGTTCCATCCACTTAGCACTCTCCGGCCTGGTTTCAATTCCACCCACAGTAGACTTGACACCAGGACTTGGGTACAGGTAGCTGACTTGGGAGGCGAGCGCAGGAAGCAGAAATGAAGTAGAGGAGAAAGTAAGGTAGTGAAGGAAGAAAGCAATACATGTTTGCAAAATAGTTGGCTACTATGGTTGGCAGCTGAGGCTCAGTCCCACTGAGGATCCTCTCAGGAGCCATGCAGAGTGTGCCTCAGAACTGTTGCTCCAGAGGAGGGGGAGACTGGAGATCTATCCACTCATCTGGCCCCTCATTGGTTGGGCTTGCGTGTATGTCTGGTGTATACCTGTCTGCTTCTGCAGCTCAGGAGAAAGCAGAGTGTAGAGACCCTTCCCACGTGTTCAATGTGGGATACTGGCATTGGTGCCTGGAACTGCCCACCAAGTCGGATGGCCAGAGGGAGGTGACACAGTATATCACAGGTATTTGCCACACTCTCATTCATTCTCCATGAGCCAGCCTAGGAGAACGTTTCAAAACACAAATCTGCTTTCAAAACACTCCCTTAATCCATATCCTTCTGTGGTCCCCATTGCTCATAGGAAAAAAATCCTTACCATGGCCTTGCATTGTCTGGCCCTACCTATCTTGAGCATTTCTTATACCATTCTAATTCAATCTCTGCTCTTCAGCCAAACTGGCATTGCTTCATTTTCCCAAAAATCCACAAAGCCTTTGCACAAGTAGTTCACACTGCCTGGAATGCTCACCTTCAAGCCAGTTAGAGAACTCTACTCATACTCCCATGTCAGTTCAAGTGTCACTTCCTTAGGGGGGCTGTCCTAATCCCCCCAGACTGGATCAGGCTCCAGTAAAAGCTCATTTCATTTTGTATACTCCATTAGTTGTCCATACCATTAATATCTGTCTCCCACATAAGACTGACGCCCAAAGAGGGCTGAGATCATGTTTTAGAATGACTAACTGGGATATAGAAAGTGTGTGCATTTATGTATGTGTGTGTATGTGTGTGTGCGCAGATGTGCCTGTTTCAGATTAGATGCAAAACCATTTGAAGCATCTGTATTCTTTGGCCCCTAGAGATCTTTTCAAAGACCTCATTCACCAAATGTTCTACTCAAGAATGTACATCTTTGAGTAGCCTATGCTATTTCTCTTCCACTCCATCCTGGTCTTCAAACGTGTCCTGTTCTCCCATGTGTCCTGTGAAGGAGGCACTAGGGAGGAGTAAGGGATGGGGTCTGTGCAAACAAACCCAGTGTTAATCTCCCAAAGGAAGGATCCTCTATTTAGTCACTGGCTCTCCAAAGAAAGTCTGTAGCTCCTACTCTCTGATATGATATGCATTTTTAAAAAGTATATATTTAATTGTGAAAATGGTCCAGAATTCCCTAGTGCACTTGGAAACTAGAAATTTGGATGGATAAAATGGGAGTGGAAGCAAACTCAGCATTTTAAATTTTCAGAGTTTAATGGCAATAAAGACAGTGTAAAAGCTCCCATTTGAAGATGCTTAGGAAGAGGATTGACTGTAAATTCAGGGAATTATCCAGGTTCTTTGTGAGGACCAGCGAGGCCACATTTGGAAAACTATGCACAGTTCCAGAGACTTATTACAAAAGGATATTATAGAAATGGAGAAGGTACCGCAGAGGGCAGAGGGAGCCACACGGGGATTTAAGGATCTTAGCTATTCAGAGTGGTATTCTTTGGCAAAGAGGAGATTAAGTGGGAACTCATTAAAGTATAGACAATTCTGAAGGGAATAGAGAGGATAATTGTTTCAAGGCTATTTGATTTAGTGTCAAATACAAGAACAAGGGGTTAGTAACTTAAGCTAAGAAAGAGAATTTAGACAGGCATTTTCTGAATTGAGTGCAAATGATATAAAACAAGGGACTGAGAATGGTGAAAATAAGAGACATAGATTTTTCAGAGGAGGAAACATGGAATTTTTCCAATTTGGTTCATTTGCATTAAATAACGAAGAGTGACTCTTTTCCCTTTTCCACTTTGAACAATTATATATTTTCAGCAGTGTTACGTTAAAAAGGGCTAGAGTGGCTATTTATAATTTTAAAGAATCTGGAAGAGAAGTGCTAACTCCAGAGAAAGAACACGGTTAAGGGCCTCTTGGCTTTTCTCTGCCTCAAAATGTCACAGGTTTCTGACCCTAACCTGGCCCCCATACCACATTACTGTCAGGGTTTTGCACCATGGGCCAGTTCTGGTGAAATTTTTACACTTGCTCTGGCTGTAACATACCCAAAACAATGATTTCCAGTGTAATAGATACTGTTTTACTTAGGTAAAAATTGGGGGTGGGGTGAGGAATAATTACATACTATATTTTTAAAATATTGACTGTAAATCGTGGTTTGTCTCCCCCTTATCTTAAGAACTGTGATGCTGTTCAGATGACAGTTGTGAAGCACTGCGTGCTAGGCTCTGTGGAAGGTTTGGTGCCTGGACATAGGTGCCTGACAGGGATTTGCTGAATGAACACCATCCCTACCCTCAATAAGCTTGCATGACATCATGGCATTGGAACCAAAAGTGAGGAAACAAGCAGTATAGTGGGGGGCAGAGGAGGAACCATTTGAGCCTTAGATAGCAGGGTAGTGATGTAGAGGCAGGCTTTGGGGCTGCTTGACACCCTAATCCATTGCTGGAATTGTCGTCTTAGGCAGGTTACTTCTCTGAGCCTCGGTTTCTTCATCTAAGAAATGAAGGGGATAGGACCCCCCCAACTCCCAGGGTTTGAGTGAGGATGAAAGTGAATTGTTGTAAGTAAGTAACAAATTACTGGAACATAGTGGGTGCTCAAATGTGGCAGCTGCAATTATGAGTCTGAAGGAACAGAATTAAAGGCTACAGAGTAGGAAGCAGATCTATCTAGAGCAGTGGTTCTCAACCTTCCTGATGCCGCGACCCTTTAATACAGTTCCTCATGTTGTGGTGACCCCCAATCATAAAATTATTTTCGTTGCTACTTCATAACTGTAATGTTGCTACTGTTATGAATCGTAATGTAAATATCTGATATGCAGGATGTATTTTCATTGTTACAAATTGAACATAATTAAAGCATAGTGATTAATCACAAAAACAATATGTAATTATATATATGTTTTCTGATGGTCTTAGGCGACCCCAGTGAAAGGGTCATTCGACCCCCAAAGGGGTTGCGACTCACAGATTGAGAACCGCTGATCTAGTGGGTTTAGCAGGCTCATGGGTGGAAGAAGGGTGCTATTTCAATTCTCTAAACTTCTGTTTATTTAGCTGTGAAATGGGGATAATAATAGTACCTATCTCAAAGTGTTGTTGGATGCAATGTAGCTGGCTTAGCACAGTGACTTCGTGCAGAAGTGTTAGCTGTTACTGTTGTTGTTCCTACCTGCTTCAATGAGAAGCGGCAAGGCCCCGAGTTAAACTGGCTTTGTCCCTTTTCCCTCTTTGTTTTTACAAAACGACTAGAAAAGAAACTAGTTTTTTGCCCCCACTTCCACGTACATGTTACTAAATAAACAATGCAGTCTTCCGGAAAAGGGCCTCAGGGTATCTCAGTTGTGGGGCACATTAAAGTTAAGTAGCATGGATTTGCAGGTTGCCCACTGTCAGTTCATGGAAGGCCAGCTGTTGGTTTTACTTCACAGGTGGTAATCCTACCACAGACATATTCTGGCAGGAAAGCATAATCCTGAAAACTCTGGGGAAGCTAAGGTTTTAGTTTTTATTATGGGAAATCACCAATAAACCCAAAAGTAGAGAGACTATATAATAAACCCCCATGTGCCCATGCCGCTGTGGGCAGCACCCGACCAATGTTGCTTACCCAGGCACCTTTACCACATCCCCTCCTTGACTATTTTTGTGTGTTTTTTAAAAACAGAAATAAGATATTTTCTTTTGTAAATAATTCAATATATACCTCTAAAAATAATGACTCGTTAAAAAATAATCACAATACAATCATCACACCTAAAAAAGTAACAATAATTCCTTAAAATCATCAATCATTTAATGATATTCAGATTTTTCCAATTGCAGCATAACTTCTTTTCTGCACTTGATTTGTATTCAGAATCCAAGCAAATTACATACTCGGCATTTTGTTCATATGCCTTTGAAGCATTTTTAAATCTCTAGGTTCTCCCCCCTTTCATTGTTATTTATGCAGAGGAAGCCAGATTATTTTTCCTATAAGATTTACCATATTCTGGATCTTGCTAAATGCATTTCCAAAGTTAAACATATTCTTCTGTTCTCTATGTCCCATACTAAAATCTAGAGCCTTAATCAGATATGGGTTCTATTTTTTTCGCAAGACTACTTCATTGAACATTATGTTGCATTACATCAGGAGGTACATAATGTCTGAGGTCTCTTCTTTTGTGATTTTACAATTGATCAGTAGGCTGAGGGATTGTTAGCCTGACTCATCATATAAAGTTTCACACTGGCCTTTCACCTAATGGTTTGAGGAACCATTAGGGATTGTTGTTTAGATCCATTATTTCATCAAGGGTTTGCAATATAGTGATATAATTCTATCATTCCTCTGCATTTATTAGCTACAATTCCTCTATGAAGAACTTTGCCTTAACAACTACTTGATTACCTTGAGGTATTGTTGGAACAGAAAAGTCAAGATGAGTATTTGATTCTTTCCTCTTATTTACCATCTAGAGGCCCGATCCACAAAATCCGTGCAAGAAGCTCAGCCCTCACAGCCTCTCAGAGCCTCGGCCGGCCTTTGCAGCCCAGGC